CGAGTAAAGGAAAACCTGAAAAGGAAACTGGAAAGAGTGTCCTGCAAAATTTGTTTTTACTTTTGCTCCTTTCTCACTTCCTCCAGAAGCTTAAAAAGTTTGCAAGCGCTGCTTTCGCGATGGGAGACAGGGCTTTTCACCTACAGACCCAGGAAGAGAAGCGCCCGCTTCACCCTTCCCCGTTCGCGCCGCCGCCCTCTCCCCCTCACGGGGTGATGGGCAGGAGGCGACACTCTTGGGACGCGTTAGGGCAGGCGGATCCCCCGGAATCCCATCTGGCCCGAGCGGCGCGCAGCTCGCCCTCCTCTGCCCTGGCCATCCACCTCCCGGAAAAAGGAAAGATCGAGCCTCTAAACCGGCCTTTCCCCTCCCCCTCTTCCCGGGGAGCGAAGGCAGAAAGTACCGTTCTGTGATTCACTGGAGAGAAAAGAGGGAGGAGGCAAAAGAACTCGGAGTGCCAAAGCGAAATAAGTTAGCTGAGAAAACGCACGCAGCGCGCAGCGCCTCCGCCGGGTCCGTCAGCTCCGCGAAGACCAGGCGGGCTCCGCGCGGACCGGCCGCGGCTTTAGGGACCCGGCTTTGGCCTCCCCGCTCCCCAGCAGCCCGGAGAAGGGATTGCAGCCCGGAGTTTCTGCAGAGAAGCGGGTGGTTAGCGGTGGAGGGAGATCAGGAAACGGCTTTTTCCTCACTTCGCCGCCTGGTGAGTGTCGTGGAGATTGGCAAACGCCGAGGGAAGTACTGGGAAAAAATGGAGAGCCCTGGGAAAGTGGAGAAGGTGATCAGGAGGCCGGTCCACTGCGGCAGTGGATCTGCCCGATGACAGCCAGACGCGAAGGGTCCACTTCGTAGTTCTTCCCAGGTGTGGGGACCGCGGGACAGACGGCCGATCCCACCGCCCTCGCTCCCCAACGTCGAGGGCGCTCTGGCCAAGAAAAGTTCCTGTCCAGTGTGATTCTCAATTCCTTGAGTGATTTTTTTTTCTCCAGGCAACTTTTTGGTGAAGATATTAACTTTTTTTTTCTTGGTGGAGGCTGCTCAAGGGAGTGGAGAGGAGGAGAGAGTGAACTGTGCTGGAGAAGAGCGAGCTCTCCTTGTTTTTCCGAAGTCCCACCCATTAAGCCATCACTTTTGGAAGATTAAAGCTGTCTGACATGGTGACAGCCGAGAGGAGAGGAGGATTTCTTGCCAGGTGGAGAGTCTCCACCGTCTGTCGGGTGTACCCCTCCTGGATGCATGTGTGCGCCCGAAGCGACGTGGGGCGCGTGGTTCTCCGCGTGGAGTCTCACCTGGGACCCCAGTGAATGGCTCCTAGGGGCTGCGCGGGGCATCCGCCTCCGCCTCCGCCTTCTCCACAGGCCTGGGTCTGTCCTGGAAAGATGCTAGCTATGGGGGCCCTGGCAGGATTCTGGGTCCTCTGCCTCCTCACTTATGGTTACCTGTCCTGGGGCCAGGGCTTAGAAGAGGAGGAGGAAGGGGCCTTACTAGCTCAAGCTGGAGAGAGAGTAGAGCCCAGCACAACTTCCACCTCCCAACCCCATCTCATTTTCATCCTAGCGGATGATCAGGGATTTAGAGATGTGGGTTACCATGGATCTGAGATTAAAACACCCACTCTTGACAAGCTCGCTGCTGAAGGAGTTAAACTGGAGAACTACTATGTCCAGCCTATTTGCACACCATCCAGGAGTCAGTTTATTACTGGAAAGTAAGTGTTACTAATTCTTGTATTTATTCCTTGGAGAAATCTTAAGCATTTAATTCAGATCCAGCTTCTAATTTAAGGGAGTAACAGAAAGTATGGGGAACGACTGAATGAATGAATGATGTATGGTATTGGGTTATGGCGTTAAAATAGATACAATGTTAATGATCTTAATTTTCTAGTCACTAGTGTAGTCTAGTTTTCCTGTTACACAGAGCCAATTGTAAGTTTTTAAAGGAGATGAGAACGTATAAACACCCACCAATTAGATTTCCAGAAATGGTCTCCTATTCCAAATTGATTCTACTTCTGAGCATGCTCAGATTTTGTTTCAGATGTCATACTAGAATTCACACTCACCATCACTAATAAGAAAGATCAAAAAAAGTTTTGACACTTGATACATTCTTAAATCTAGAATTGAATGATCAGAGCCACAGATCCGTAACAGAGAGAAAAAGAGCCAATGAAACAGATATAGGGTAATGTAAAATATGACCAGTTTATGTATGACTGCTTGGGTCTTTGATGGGTCATTTTCTCTTACAAGATCACTAGTGAAAGCCATATTTAATTAGCAAAGCAGTTCTCAAAATGCAAGAAAATTCAATAGTAAGTGCTCAACAGGAATCAAACTTCCCAAACTTCATCTGCAGTTTTTTGCTGCTCTTCACAGGTCTGGGATTTTCTGACTAACCAACAGAAATCAGACTATTTAGACGCTTAAGTAAAGTGCTTTTCATATTGCCGCTTTGCTAAATAGCTAAATCTTTTACTTAAAGTGTTCACATATTTTCATATTTTTACTCTATCCTGTCAGAATATAGGCCACTGCAATTAATGTGGATGCACAAATTCAGCCTGTGGAATGAAGATAAACTAGGAGGGTCAGGGATAAGCTGGACAGAGGTAGAAGAAAAGCCTTAGCTGTTTGAATCTATGTCTTGTGATTTCAGTTGCAGGGCAGGGAACCCTTCCTTCATGAAGTTGTTTTTGGAATTGAATCCTATAAAAGTAGCCAGTATCCATTGGAAAATTAAGACTATTTTGTAAGAATCTCTGTCTTGCAGAGACTTTTTCTTACAGCATGATTTCCACTGCTTAGCAAACGGTCAGAACTTAGTATCATTGCCAGAAAATGAAAAAATTATTATCCTTCCCTCTCCTGAGAAGGAGAAAAGTCTCACTGTACATCAGAGTCATTTTAAAGGTTAATTGTGGCATCAGAGAATCAAGGGTATTTGATATATATAAAAGAGCAGATTTTGGCTGGAAAATCATAAGTCCATCTGGTGGCCTGGAGGTCAAGTTCTTCATGTCTAATCTCAAACACCCTTATATTTGGCTCATGAAATAAATGTCTCACAAAGCTTCACTGGACATCCTCAACTAACTTACAGAATTTAGATTTACACAGATAGCCAACAGTGGTTGAAAATATGTAACTGAACTATATGAATTTATTTTTCACAATAAAGCATATGTTCAAGGCTTTTCACCAAACAAGAAAATTTGTTCTTAAACATTATCTTGCACTGAAACCATATGTAGGTTTTATCTTTTGGTCATTATGTTTACTTAATAAAATGAAACAGAAACTAAGCTGGAAATATTTCCTAATTTCTCTCTTTAGTCAAAGATTGACTCCTCTGTACTTTCAATGCAATCAGACTTCTGATGAATTTTTTCCCCATTAAAATTTTTTATTCAGTGCAACAGGTTGTATAACTGTTTTACAGACAAAAAGTACAAATAGCTACTGTGATTTGATTTTAATTTCTATTTGAATTAAAAATTTGAAGATCTTTTCACTTGCAATTCTCCTTTTAGACAAATTGCTGGAAAATTCCTTTAAATGAACACAGATGTAAGAAAGAAAGTGGTTATGGAAGCCCAGTTGTGGACTTAATATTAACCTATTTTTGCCTGAGGTTGCATTTTTTTTTTTTTTTATTTTTACAATCAGACCCTGGCGATCACCTTGAGCAGTAGGATATAAATAATTCCCACATGCTGAGGGTTCCAATAATGGAACACTAGGCATAAATGAGTTATTCATGCAGAGAATATGCCATTTATCCTCCCCATGAATACATGTCTATGCCTTCTGGATCTTCTAAATTAAAAAAGGAAGCAATAAAAAAACTGAAATGAACTAAACTATTTTAAGGGAAAATGGGTTATGTGAAATGTGACATGATTCAAATATCTTCACATGACAAAGAGTTTACATAATTGAAGCTGAAGCTACTTTTCCCACTATTAACAAAACAACACTCCCTTTATATTTTTCTGGAGTAAAAAATGTAAAAATCTATTTCCGTTTACTGCACGAATCTACAGCAAATTGCAGATTATTTTAATAATTTACATTATGCTAGTCTGGCAATATTGAATATCAGTCAGCCTGTCAATAAACATTCATTGGTACAGACCCCTACACTGGGGCTATGAAGAAGAAACAAGCAATTCCTAATCTCTGGAGAGTAGTTTTCAAATTGCTGTGTGCAAAAAACGTCAACCCAAATGCTAGTTAAAATGCAGATTTCTGGGCCCTTCAACTATGGTAAGTCGGGGGTTGACTCTAGAAATCAATAGTGATTTAATGAGTGTGTCAGATTATTATGATGACATTATCAAAAATAAATCAAGACTGTTATTATTAAATGTTTGCTACTGCTGAGCAGTCACTGTGTTCCAGGGTAACGCATTTTATATGCATTGTCTCATTTAATCCTTGCAACAACTTTATGTAGTTGCTATTGTTATACCCATTTTATATTGATGTGGCAACAGATTCCAAGAGGGGTAGTGATGCAGGGATTCTATGCACTGGCCTTTGAGAAACAGCATTCTAGGTGTTCACAGTTGTCCTGATAAGATAAAAGGTTGACTGGGTAAGTAGCTGCCTGTGTTTGATTTATTTCAAAGTAATTTACACACATTTTTTAAAAAGTTTTGCAAATAAATATGTGGATTAAAAACATCATTTTTTCTTAACAGAAAATATTGTGAAGGCCTCAAAAAAAATTATAAGTCTTGCAAAATGTAAATATGTTTATGCAGACTTTAGAGGAGGAAAGTTGACAATCTGAATTGAATTCATATCTTTGATAATAATTTTGTGTTTTTACTATTTTGTTACTCATTTATCCCACTTGAAATACCATGAAGATCACTGTTAACAAATGCAAAGGTAACTCAAATAATGTTTATATCTAATAGGATACTTGATAAATCCACTGTGCTTAAAACAACCCACTACCCAACTGCTATCCTCACTAAGGATAATCACTCACCCAATTTCCTATGCCTTAAATTAATTTTGCTTGGTTCTGAACTTTACACAAATGGAATTACAGAGAGGGTACCCTTCTATGTCTAGCTTCTTTTAGCATGATATTTGTAAGATTTTTCCATGTTGTTGCCTGTAGTTATAATTTATTCTCTGTCATTGAATAGTGTTCCTTTGTATAAGCATATTATAATTTATTTACCCATCCTACTGTTAATAGACATTTGGGTTGTTTTCAATGTTGGGTTATTATGAACAGTGCTACCATAAAAATACTTGTATATGTTTTTGGGTGAACATAGGTATGCATTTCTCTTGGATGTCTGTCAAGAAGTGGAAATCCTGGGTTAATGGGATGTGTATGTTTAGTTTTGGTAGATAATGCTTAAGTTTCCCAAAGTGATTCTACCAGTTTATACTCTCACCAGTAATCACATGGGAAGTTCTACTTGCTTCACATCATTGCCAACATTTAGTATTATCTTTTCTCATTTCAGTCAGTCTGGTCATTATGCACTGCTACATCATTATGGTTTAAATTTGCATTTTCTGGACAACTAATAAAGTTGAGCATCTTTTCACATTTGTATGGACCAATTTTATGTCCTCTTTAAAGAGATATTTATTCAAGTATTTTGCCAATTTTTTTCTTTAGATGATTGTTTTTGCCTTATTAATTTGTGGCAGTTATTTATATATTCCATTAGTTTGTTAGATATTAGTATTGCAAATCTCTTTTCCCATACTGTGGCTTGCTTCTTCACTCTCCTCAAAAGTGTTTTGGTATTTTAGTGTTTTTGTTTGTTTTGTTTGTTTGTTGTTTTACTGGTTTTGGGGTGTTTGGGTTTTTTTAGTGGTTTCTTGGTTTTGTTTTTGATTTTTTAATTAACAGGAGGTTTTAATTTTCTTGTAATCCACATTATAATATTTTTCTTTTTATGTCCTATTTAAGATATTCTCCCTACCCCAAAATCATGGCCATGGTCTTTTTCCCCTAAGAGTTTTACTGTTTTGTTTTTATATTTAGATTACAATTTATCTGAAATTAATTTTTAGTATGGTGTAAATGAGAGTTCAGGATTAGTTTTTCCATGTGTATATCCATTTGACCCACACTGTTTATTAAAAAGACCATACCATCTCCATTACACTGCAGCATCACCTTTTCACATATCAGATGAATGCTCATGTTTGGTCTGTTTCCGCAGTATTCCATTCCAGTTCTCATTGTTCTTGTTGTCTATTCGTTGTGTCAATGCTATGTTCTCTTAACTACTACAGCTTTATAATAAATATTAATATCTTGAATGTAAATCCTCCTGCTTGTTCTTCAAAATTGCTTCAGCTATTTTTTTACCAGTTCATTAATCTTCATAGGAAAGAAGAAAGAGCATAGATGTACAGATGCAAATAGCTTGGAAGATTTGGTTTTCAGATTCTGAAGTAGTTTTTTTTTTAATTATCCTACTTTCTAAGTAAAATAGCAAATGAGGAAATTAGTTGAGAATGAAGATCTGAAGGTTTAACGAGAGGGAGAGATACAAACTATCTGCTAGGAGAGTGAAAAAGTGAATTGGGTAAAGAAATGAAGTAAAAATACTGGGCAGTAATGAGAGCCCACTTGAGATTTGTGGTCATAAATTTTAACAGACACCAGACATTTTTGTTTGTTTTTCTCCCACCCTGTTCTGGTTCTTGTGTGCAGAAG